CCACTCAAATGCTTCCACGGGGCTCGGACTTTCTTAAAGAAATGTCTCTCTCTCAGGCGCCTTCTATACAACATCTGCACACGGTTCTACCACACGGCGTGTATTGGCTCTGAAAGCGCGGTCTTACATGGACTGGACACCGGACCTGGGAAAGTTTGGTGGAAGCACTGGTTCACCAGGTCTCCGTTTCTCGTCTGACGTGCAGGCTTCTGAGAAACAAAAACTGCCTCAGTATGCCACAGCCTCACGGGGCTTCCAGAGCGACTCCCCGTTTTTCTTCAATGGCAGCGTCTTCGTTATTTAGTGTTGTGTCCTGACACGGCTGGGTTATGTAAGAGACTCCGTGCTCACATGGTTACCACAAGAATGTGGCATCGATTACGTAACCTGAGCGGCTTTTACCGCCGGGTCCTGGGGCTCCCACAGCCATTAGCAGAGCGAACTTCCAGGGGGTGAGACGCTGAGCGTTTAATTAACGAGCATTCACCTTTGGCTCTTACCATTCATCACAGACACGCCTCACCCCCCCCCCCCCCCACACACACACACTGGAAGGCAGGAGACGTAAGATTCATTCGGAACATTAATGGTTTAACCATCTGCCTATTATCAATATTGCCGTTGACAAGGAAACACTACTTTTCAAATGAAGATAATATCATCTATCCTGACGCTTAGTTGTTTTAGAACATAAAGCAACAGTAAGATTGTAGGTTATTTTATAGTGAATTTGTTTGAATTCATAAAAATAACTTAAGTGAAACAGAAGCTCTAGAAATATTAGGGGTTGCTGGAGTGGTTTTTAAAAAATCACCTTTGGTCTTTTTTTCCACAGGTGTCTTGCTCAGTGGGTTGACTTTATAATATTTTTCTAACTAAAATGGTAAGAGCCCCCTTCCCTTGCAGGCTCCACTACAGCAATACTGTAAGGAGGCATCCCTCAGTTTTCCCAAGGTTTGTCAGCATCCACACCCCTAGGAAGTGTAGCCAGTTGGCACGCAGGTGATGGGCAGGCAGCAACCATTGAGTGCCCCCTGTGTCCCCCTCTGTGAAAGGGGACAGGTGGACCCCCAAGCCTGCCCTGACATCAGCTCTTTAGAATGGAGTTGCCAGTGCAACTTATCCGCGAGGAAGCTTCTTGGGAAGAGGGTCAGTGCCACCTGCTCACACGCACAGATGAGAGGCATCCGTTCCAGGAGGCTCTGGTGTCGGAGGTGAGAAGTGTTGCAGGCGGCTTTCTACAGAGCACACCTGTGGCTAGTGACACGGGGTCCGTGGTGTGGGAGGGAGGGGGGTGTCTGGCCACTGAGCTCCCTGCAGAGCCTGCCCGAGGAGGGATCCTTGAGCAGTCACACCTCATGACAACACGCTGGCCATTTTGCAGCAATGATATGGGAAAGCCTCACAGGTGAGCCCCACCTGTTCCACTGCTGTTTGCTTCGGGGTTGTCGTGCTCAGATGACTAAATTTTAAATAAGTCACACGTATTAAAACCAATGGGGAAAATGTGGCTTTTGTTTAGACTTTATCTGTATAGGTAGACGAGTTCTCCTCTTAATCAAGCTTGGTTTGATATTTTATAAAGTTTACAAGCATTTTTGAAAGAGAACACAGGAGATTCAAGAATCAGTGAGCACTGTGAAATTGGCAGCTGCAAGCACCAAGGTTGTGAAGTGAAATCAATTAAGACACAAACCTGCTTGTTGACCAGAATTCATCAAATGCTAATCGGACTTGTTGTAAACCTCCCTCTTAGGCTACTAACAGGGGTGATCGGTTAAAAAGATAAAGAAACCTCATAATGGGAGGAGGAAAACCATAATTTTAAAATGTCTTGGGGATCTGCCTTGACCCTATTTTAAAATGTTTTTAGGAACACAGAATTCAGATTACTGGTAGATCACGATCGGGTGGATATTGCTTTCTCTATAAGAGAATTATTATGCATAAAGTACTAAAACAAATATAGACAGGACTTTATTTGAAAATAACAATGTCTGGAAGTCTGTTTGGATAATCAGGATGTCCCCATGGCGGCATGGACAGACGAACGGGGAGGTTTCATCCCTGCATCCATTCCGTCTTCATCCTGTCCCTGGGGAGACGCTGTCTAACAAGGCTGACCTACCAGTCTGAACCACCCCGTCCTGGCACTTTTTACTGGGGCGGAACTGCCCTCTTCACACTCTCTGCGTTTTCATTCTCTGCAGAGCGGACTGGCATTTTCTCAACGGGGAACGAGGAAGGTCATTTATTTCACAAAGAGCCCTCCCTGTGGCATTGGTCACAGCCCCACGGAGTTACAACCCTGATTCCGGAGGCGCTGAAATCCTACAGCGATTGGATGCCGCCGGACCTGAGGCCACCTGGCAAACCGTATGGGACCCCGGATGTGTGTTCTCTTAGTTGGGGACCAATGTGTGCATCAGTCCACACAAGGCTTGGAGTGCAGGGGCCATCTCCTCCTTTTCGGACACACCCCTCCGAAGGCGGAGGGAAGGGAAGGAATCCACAGGGAACTTCCTCCCCGCAGGTGTGGAGGCGCCTGAGCGCGGCAGGAGTGGCGCGCTTGAGCCCGGTGTCTGGCACGGGAACCTCTGGCTGCATGTTTTCTGAGAAGGAAAGTGGCCTGGCGCCCCCCGCACTCAGAGCAACAGAACCGGCCTCCCCTCCCTGGTGCAGCGGGGAGCGCGCATAACAAATGCCATCAACGCGCAGCAGGCACCCGCTCCGGCGGCCCCTGGCCCTTCCCCGTGGTCCCGCCTCTTCTCTCCGGTTTGTCCAGGAAGCCCGCGCCTTCCCGCAAGCTTTCGGAGCGCGGGGGGACAGGTAGCGGTTTGGGTCCAGAAAAGGGTCGCGCCCCGATGGGACAGACCCGCAGGACCACATGGGATGGCTTCCCGCCCGCACAGGTCTGAGGCTGCAATCCAAGCTCCAGGGGAACGTGTTTGCGGCGGGAAGTCACGTTAGTGACCCCAAAAGGCAGCCAAGGGGACGTCAACGACAAGCAGAAGCACGCCGCGTGCACAAGGATGAACAGCGGACACTGGGGGTGGAGCCCGGCCTCCCCAGGGCCCGTGGGCAGCCACGGAGATGGGCGCACGGAGCCCGCCTTCCCGGAGTTACCGGCGTCAGGGGAGCGCTGCCCCGGAGAGCGCAGCACCGGGAGGCCGGCAGCCCGGACCGGGGGCAGGGCCCTCTCCTCCTCTCCCGGCCGCCCTCACCCCAAAACAAAGCAGAACGGCACAGCCCCCCCTGAGTGAGATAAGAGCGCCTGGATCCCGTCCTCCAGGCTCAGAGACCGGCCCCTGGTGCCAGGGCCGGCGCCCACGCTCCCTCCCCGCGATCCGCCGCGGGAGCGCCTGGCGGTGTCCGGAGCCCCGCTTGCCCATTGGCTTCCGATGCCAACACGCACTCCCCGGCTGGGCGCCTGGAGGGAGCGGGCGAAGCCTCGCCAGGGGGACTCTGCGGCCAGCTTCCCCAGAGAAACCCGGGAACCCGCTGGAGAGACGAAATCTTGGAGGGCGCGTGCGAGCCGGCCCGGGGATGGGCGCCGCCGCCTTCGCCAACGCCTCGGCTTAGGGGACGGCTCGCCCTTCGCCCGCCGGCCTGGGCGCGCTCCGGTCCCGGCAGGTGACCTGGCCCAGGAGCCCGGGGAGCCCGTCCCGCCGCCCGCACTGCACCCGGCGGCGGTGGTGCCGCCGCGCCCCGGCCGGCCGGCCCGGAGGGACACCGGCGCCTCCGCGCGCCGCGCTCCTCGCTCAGCGCCCTCCGGGGCACGTGTCCGCCAGCAGCGCAGCCGGACTCAGGCGGGAGAGGCCGGCAGGGGGGCCTCGGGGCGTTGGGGTCCGGATCGCGGGGGTTTGGGCCCTGTTTGCCCTCCCATTCTCGGTCACCGGGCACAGGAACCCTCGCGGAGGCGGGGGCCTGAGGGAGCGGGGAGGGCCTGTCTGCGCCTTCGTGTACTGGGACCCTGTGCGGGCTGAACCCCGGGGAGAGGGGCCCTCCCTCCGCGGGCCGCCAGGCCAGGCCAGGGGCTCCGGCGCGGGGGGGCCGCACAGTCGCCCCTGCCCCCTGGCCCCCGCCCAGTGGCCCCGTCCGCCGGTCCGGGTGCCGGGGCCTGCGCCTGCGTGGGCGCCCCGCGGCGTGGGAGCTGCTCCGCCGGGTCCTCCGCCTCCGGCGCCACGGCCACGGCCACGGCCACGGCCTCCGCCTCCGCCTCCCGGGCGGCGGCACCGCAGCGCCTTCCCCGCGGCTCGGGGCCGTGGCCGCCGGACGCGCACCCCCTACCCGCGCTGCGGCCCCGCCGCCGGGGAACGCGGACCGCGCGCCGGCACCGAGGCCGGGCGCTCGCCCCAAAGTGGACGCCGGGGAGGAGGCCGCGAGGGGCCGGAGACGGAGCGGAGCTGCGGGCGGGCTTGGCCGGGCCGGCGCGGAGGGCGGGACTGCGGGGCGGAGCCGGGGGCCGGCCTCCGGAGGGGGGGCCCGGCCAACCGCGAGGCGCCGCGCGCTCCCCGCCCCCGGGCCCCCCTGCCCGCCGCCGGGGACCCGCCCGGCTCCGGCCCGGCTCCGGCCCGCTCCGCCCGGGGCCCGGCGCGGCCGACCGAGCGCGCCCCGCCCCGCGCCCGCCCCGCGGGGCCTCGCTGCCTGGGTCCCGGGCCGCCCCCTCCTCCCTCCCTCCCTCCCCTCCCCCCGCGCTCCGGGCCGCCGCCCCCGCGGCCCCCTCCTCCCGCCCCTCCCATCAGCCTCCGCCTCCCGCCTCCCTCCGGAGGGGCGGGCGCAGCGGCGGGAGCGGCGGCGGCGATGCCGGCGGCCGGGAGGCAGCTCCGCTGAGCGGCCCCGGCGGCGGTCCCCGCGGCGGCGGCGGGCGGCGGCCCCTCCTCGCCCGGCGCTCCCGGCCCCGCGGCTCCGGCCCCGCCGCGCCCGCCCGCCGCCGCCCCGGCTCCCGCCCGCCCCGGCCCGGCCCGGCCCCGGCCCCGCGGGGAGGCGGCGGCCCCGCCATGGCAGATGGACCCTCGCACCACGCGAGCTGCTTCCGAAGGCTGACCGAGTGCCTGCTGAGCCCCAGTGAGTGCCCGCCCCTCCCCGCGCCCCGCGCCCCGCGCCCCGCGCCTGCGGGACGGCTTCCCCGCGCCGCCGGGCAGGGCGGTCCGGAGGCTCCGGGCTCCAGAGCCCGACCCGCTGTCCGCGGGGCCGCCCGGGCCGCCCGGCCACAGTCCCCGGCGCTGTCCGCCCCCAACGCGGACCGGCCCTCCGCCCGGGCCCTGGGCTGGGGGACCGAGCGCGCCCTCTGCCCGGAGGCGGGTCCCGGGAGACCCCCTGGGAGGGGCTGGCGGGGTCCGAGCCCGAGCTTGGAGGTGCAGCTCCCTCCTGTTCCCCGGGCTCCTTGTCCCCGCCTCCCTGACCCTCTGCCACCCCTCACCCTGTGCCCCCCTGACCCTGTCCACCCCGGAGCCTGTCCACCCCGGAGCCTGTCCACCCCGCAGCCTGTGCCCCCCTGACCCTCAGCCTCCCCGGAGCCTGTGCCCCCGGAGCCTGTGCCCCCCGGAGCCTGTCCCCCCCCCCCATCCTGTCCACCCCGGAGCCTGTGCCTCCTGGAGCCTGTCCACCCCGGAGCCTGTGCCCCCCCGGAGCCTGTCCACCCCGGACCGGCCGGTGTCTGGCTGCCGGTGCCTCATTCCCGGCACCGCTCTCCGGTCCGGGCCGCGGCGCTCCGGGGAGGCGAGGACAATGGGCTTGGGGCGGAGGCGGCGGCGGGCCCCCAGCCGGGGTGAGGGGTGCGGGGGGCAGGGGCAGGGCAGGGGCAGGGGCGGGGGGCAGGGCAGGGCAGGGGCAGGGGCAGGGCAGGGGCAGGGGCGTGCCGCGGGGAGGGGAGGGAGCGGGCGGAGGTTCCAGGGAGCGGAGGGAGCGGAGATGGCGGGGCGGGAGGCGCCGGGCGCGCACAGGAGGGCAGCGCCTTCGCCGCCGATGGAGGGGATGGAGGGCGAGCCAGGTGAGGCGGGCCGGGCGTCGGCGGACACCGTTACTCCGTGCCGGCTCCTGGGGCCCAGCGCGCCGGCCAGCATCACCGCGTGCGCCGAGCCTTTGTCTGCGCCTCCGGAGCCGCTCCTGCGCCTCTTCCCCTCCCGGGCCGCCCTCCCCTCCCCGGGCCGCCTTCCCCTCCCCTCCCGGGCCGCCTTCCCCTCGGGGGCTGCCTTCCCCTCCCGGGCAGGCCCGGCTCCCGGTGGCCCGGGCTCCCTGGCACCTGCACCGGCCCAGGGCCCAGCCCCTCCTCACGGGGGAAACTTGTCTGGTGCCGCCGGCGTGCTGGCCTGGCCCTACGGGGACCCGGCTGGCCACTCCCCTCCCGGCGGACCTGCCTCCCGGCCGGGCGGGTGGATATGGCAGGGACAGCGTGGCCAGTGGCCTCTCACACCCCTGGCCAGCTCAGGTCTCCGCGCCTTCTGGCTGCTGGGCCGGACCTGTTGGGCATGGGCCCTGGTCTGGGAGCAGAGCCCCCTCCGGTGCCCCCCCTCACCCCCACGTGGGTGCAGCGCCCAGTGTCTGCAGCCCCGCCCCATCTGCAGGGCTGACCACTCAGAGGTGGCCGTGGAGGAAGGATGGGGTCTTGGCACCAGGGCTGCCTGCAGCCAGGATGCCTTCCCGTGGACACTGGCACCTGCTGAGAGCTGCTGTGATGGGAGGGCCGGAGTGGAGCTGTCAGTGCTCAGGACTGGCCTTCCTGCTCCTCCTTCCTTAAAAAATCCACTTTACAGCTGCCTGGTGGGGGTGGGCCGGCTGAAGGCTGCCACCTCTCCCTGTGACAGCGTGGCTCTGGGAGAGGCGGGTGCTGAGGGGACAGGGGTGCAGGCATCGATGGGACCTGTTTCTTGAAGTGATGAGGTTTTGTTTGCAGGTGGTGGTTCCTGCTGCGGGGTGTGTGTGTGTGTGTGTGTGTGTGTGTGTATGTGTGTGTATCTGTGTCTCTGTGTATCTGTGTCTCTCTGTGTATCTGTGTCTCTGTATGTGTGTGTCTCTCTGTGTATCTGTGTGTGTCTATGTGTGTATCTGTGTGTATGTGTCTGTGTGTGTCTCTGTGTGTGTTTGTGTGTGTCTGTGTGTCTCTGTGTGTATCTGTGTGTGTATGTGTGTGTGTCTGTGTCTCTGTGTGTATCTGTGTGTGTGTATCTGTGTGTGTGTATTTGTGTATCTCTGTGTGTGTCTGTGTATCTGTGTGTGTATGTGTGTGTCTCTGTGTGTGTCTGTGTGTCTCTGTGTGTATCTGTGTGTGTGTGTCTGTGTGTATCTGTGTGTGTGTGTGGGGGGGGGCTGGGCGTGTGGTGGGGGTGTTGTGGAGCAGAGAGAAGGTGACCAGGTCAGTGGGGTGAAGTCCCAGGCGAACCCCCAGCAGGCTTCCCCTGTGGAAGGACGAGGGTCTGGAGGGGACGGGCCACGGGGAGAGGCCCAGCCGTCGGGGGAGGGAGGGCCTGGGGTGTGAGCAGGCACAGTCCGGGACGCGCTGAGGCGGTGGCAGGAAGGTACCGGTACGGTAAGTCTGCTTCAGACCACCTCGGGGGAGTGGGCCGTGCTAGACCCATGCTTACGGGACAGGCCAGTTCCTGCCGGACGCTGTGCCCTCCCCGCTGGGGTCCTGTCACTGCTGACCGCCGCCCCTGTCCGGATTGCTCAAATGTCTCAAGCGGGCAGACTTTTTAGGTACTTGGCAGTTAAAAAGAGACTTTGGGGAAAACCCCGGATACTATGAGAAGTAAAGATCCCACAGGCTTGCAGATGTGTCTGATTATTTTTAAGTCCTCACCTGAGGGTGTGTTTCCATTGATTTCTAGAGAGAGTTGGGGGTGGGGTGAGAGAAACATTGATGTGAGATGAGACACATCAACTAGTTGCCTCCCACTCGAGGCCTGACTGGGGCTAGGGGTCCAACTTGCAATCAGGGTACATGCCCTTGACCGGGAATTGAACCTTGGACCTTTTGGTTAGCAGGCCAACACTCTGACCACTGAGCCAAACCGGCCAGGGCACAGACTCCCTCTTCCCTTTCAGTGGGACCTCTTGGTCTGATCAGCGAGCGGTTGGGTAAAGGGCTGCGGTCAGTTACCGGTTAGAGCAGTGGTTACCACAGGGGGGATCATGCCCCACAGGGGGGGGATTTGAATCTTAAGGGGGGCAATTCGAGAATTATCAACAGTGAATGTTTTGCATTTCTTATAGCTCTAGTGCCTCACAGGCGGTATATAAATGTATATTATGACATACTTATGCATTTCAGTTCTCTATTATATGTTTTGAAACTTTATTTGCTATTTTTCATATCACCTCATATTACTATTTTTTTTTTTTAACAATTTCTTAGTGATTTCTTCCTCAGTCCTTCAGCTGTCCTTTCGTTCTTTTCTTTTTCTCTTCTGTGGATGCCATGTTCTTTGGAAGTGTGATTAGACCAAGTTCATGGCCTTTTAGGCTTCTTCCACGTGACTAGGAGCTCGCCTTGGGAAGAGTAAGAACTGTGTGTCACGGGCGGGCATCAGGGTTTTAGAGATGCTTAAGCAGGCTGGGAGCCGCCGCTGAAGGAAGGCCTGTCTTACCGTGGTCCGCACAGAAAGCGCCCGCGCCCTGTGCAGCAGCTCTGATGCCCGTGACACTCCCGTCCATGGCCGGCATCGGCTTCTCGCCGGTTCGCCGATTCGCTCGGTCACGCACAGAACAAGCTCATTCAGGCGCTGCCCTGGCCAGGCCTCCATCCCGAGGAACCACCCGCCCCCGGGGAGAGCCCCTGGACGCAGGCTCAGCGCTGATGCCCGGGCTCCCAGGCCAGCATCCCCTCCGTCCCATCAGGCCGTTCCAACCTCACCTCATCCCGCCGTCCGCGGGAGTGCTGGCCTCTGAGCTTTCAGGAAGTTGCTGGTCTGCACAGGGACAGCACCAGGCCCTTGGGGGGCTCAGCAGCCAACTTTGCAGGGGCACACGCGTGTGTGTGTGTGTGTGTGTGTGTGTGTATGCGCCAGCGAAGCTGAGAAGTGCCGCTGTGATAGGCCAGCGGGAGCCTCAAAGACCTTGACCATGGCGCTCGCTCTCCCCGTGCCCCCCTCCCCGAGGAGTGTGAGTCCCAGCGGCTGCTCGGAGCGAGGCGGAGAGGGAGAGAGAACAGAGGGCGGGCGGTCAGGCACAGAGAGCAGGGGACAGACAGGCGAGGCCGGCTGCAGGGCACTGGCGGTTTCTCACTCGCTCAGCACAGAAAGTGCGTGTTTCCAGGAGCTGTGGCTGGAAATACGCTCTGTGTGTATCCCTCTTGCTCTGCTTCTTGAGGCTGTGACACCGTGGCTAACCCTTAGACACACGGACACAAACAGGGTCCGTTGGGAGAGCCAGAGAGAGGAGCGCGTGGACGCTCCCTGGACTTAACGCCTCCATGTGCCTGTGGGCCTGGGGAGGTGAGGTCACCGACGTCAGGGACGCGGGGGCCAGGCTGGCCGCGGAGAGCCCACTGACGGTCAGCAGCAGGCAGTGATCGGCCTGTGCAGTGTGAGCCGCTGGAGGAGAGGAAGTCATGAACGGTGACCTTGGAGGACCTGGGCTGAGGGTGGACACCTGCCCGGGACAGCAGAGCCAGGGCGGGCCGGGCAGACCAGGCGTCCCGGAGAGCCAGCGACCAGAGTCCTCAGAAAGGACTGCCCCCACCAGCGCGCTGTGGACGGGGTGGGACCATGTAGGGCCCTGACCTTAAATTGCACGACAGTTCTCTTCTTAAGCACATTTTTTTTTTTTTTTTTACTGATTTCAGAGAGGAGGAGAGAGGGAGGGAGAGAGAAGCATCCATGATGGGAGAGAATCATGGATTGGCTGCCTCCTGCTCCATCGGGGATTGAGCTGGGAGTCCAGCTGTGACTTCCTGGTTCACAGGCCGATGCTCAGCCACTGAGCCATGCATGCTGGGCGCAACATGTCTCTTTTAATGAAAAACAAAACAGAACAAAACAAAACACACACACTCCTGGGCGAATGTAGAAAATCTGCAAAACTTGGAATGAGCGTGTAATAGGACAAGGGGTGTCTTCCTTCGTCCCAGC